CCTAAATGAGCCTAAATAATTCATATCCGAGAGGAGTCAGGGGGAAGGGAAGGCCGCCTGCGCTGGCCCCGGGGCAGCAGCCACACTGGCAGCCTCCCGCAGGCTTCTCTGCCCACTCCGTCTGGGTGTGTGGCGGGATAGCTGGGGGTCAGCGGGGCTCTGGGGCTCTGGGGAGGTGCATTTGCTCAGCGAGGAGTCTGCCACTCCTGGCTGCAAAGCCAGACCACCTCCCTCGGGAAAAACAGCCCGAGGCAGAAGGGACTCTAAAGGAGAAAGGACCGCTAGGTAAAAGAGTGATCCTTGGGGAAGGGCACCTTTGGAAATGGGGATGGGTGTGTGTGTGTGTGTGTGAGGTGGGGCTCAGAGTCCCTAGGAGGTAAGAAGGGCCTGTGGATTGCCCATGAGAAGACAGTTCCAGGCGAGGGGTGTGGTGTGCAAAGGCCGGGTCAGGGGTGTATGAGCCACACTGAGGAGTCGCGTGCTCTGCCTGTGTGAGGTGCCCTCCCCCCCCCAGCAGGACGGGATCCCCTCTTCCAGACCCAACCTGCCAGATGGTTCCTGGGTACTGGGAGGAGCCACAGGAGGTACAGCAGTGGCAGAAGCGTGGGCTTTCGCAGGGCCAGAATCAGAAAGGTCTCTGGGGGTGTGGGAAGTGAACGGACTTCAGCTTTTCCTCTAAAGCTATGAGCTACGGTGCGGTGCGGTAGTGATGGGAGGGACAGGCCGTGTGTGGAAGCGAACGGAGCCCAAGGGCTGGGACATGGAGGCAGAGGTAGCCTTGGTTGAGCTGGCCGGCCAGGAGAGAGAGATGGTGGTTGTCTGGGCTCAGGCCGGGGGGGCCGGGGAAGTGGTAGGTAGGTAGGGGGCATGCCAGCAAGATAGAGCCGTAGGACTTGCAGATAAGTTGGATGTGGGTGTGAGGAAAAGTGGGGTCCTGGTCATCTTGAGGCTTTGGGCCATAACAGAGGCCTTCAGCTGACGTGGGGACACGGATGGTGGGCGGTGGGCCTGGAGGGAGGTCGGGGGCCCACTGACTACCCAGATGGCCACGGCACACACGCAGCTGAGCATCCAAGACTGGCATCTTGTGGAGGGATAAGGGAGACATCCTGTCTAGCCCTGGGTCCTTCATGCTGCTGCTCTGTGCCTCAGTTTCCCTGAGAATTGGAGCCTATCGGATTGATGAAAATTGTGAAGTGCAGTCACCAGGAAAGAAAAGGCTCTGATTAGGGGGCTGGGAAGGTGGCTCAGTGGTAGAGCGCTTGCCTTGCATGCTCGAGGCCCTGGGTTCGATTCCTCAGCACCACATAAGCAAAAAGAAAAAAGCCGGAAGTGGCGCTGTGGCTCAAGTGGTAGAGCGCTAGCCTTGAGCTGAAGAGATGAGGGACAGCGCCCAGGCCCAGAGTTCAGGCCCCACAACTGGACCCCCCCCCCAAAAAAAAAGAAAAAAGACCTCTAACACAGCAATAGTCTGTGGTTAGGGAGGGAAACAGACCTGCAGAGGCCACGCCCCCTCTCTAGATGTGGGAGACAGACCTGGAGAGGCCACGCCCCTGAGCTAGGTGTGGGAGACAGACCTGGAGAGGCCCTGCCCGAGCTCCCTGTTGGTGACAGAGCAGGGGATGGGAGAGAGATGGCACCGGGGGCCTCCCCATCCATGCTATCCCCTCTGGCCCTGGGCTTAGGTGCAGAATGGGGTCCAAACCTTCCCCCTGTTCCTGCCCCAGCCTCTTCCCCAGTACAACGGGCTGTTCCAGCTTCCCCAGACCAACTTAAGGGCACTCCCTCCCCCCCCCCAAAATGCTCAGATCAGGCCTAGAGGAAGGGGTTCTGCCTGGGGCTTGCTCACACAGCATTACTAGCAGAAGCACTGGTCAGGCTCAGTTTGACCTTCAACGCCATCCTTCAACCACTACTGGGAAAAATCACCTTTTGCCTTTCTTCAGCCTTTCCCTGAGCACCCAGCCCTGCCTAACTGTCACTGCCCTTGTCCCAGAGCCTAAGTGGTTGATCGCTGTGTGATCCTGGACATCCTCTGTACCTCTCTGGACCTAGTCAGCCGCCAGGACTCTCCCAGTCCCCATCCAATCCATGTCACTCCCGGCTCTGGTTACTCCTCCCCTCGCTCCTCCCTTCCCCCAGTATATTGATAAGAGTAAATATTGGGCTGGACCCGGTGCCCTAATTAAAGCCCAATGACTGTTTTCTGCTCATCTGAGTGGGGAGGCGAGAGCTTGCTCCCTCCCAGCTGAGCGCCAATTAGAAGGGAAAGTTCTTTCTCAGCAGAGAAAGGGAAGGAACAGCCCCATAATTAATAACCTCATTACGGAGCAGTATTTGGGCAGGGTCCCAAGATACATGTAGAGGAGTAGACTCGGGGAGGGTAGATGTGGACTGATTCGAGCTGCTGCCAACTGTCTGTCCTCTGCCAGCTCCTGAGGGGTCTCCAGTGTCCCCAGTGACACACGGGCCGACTTCTGACCTCCAGTAAACTGCTCAGGAAAACCAGAAGCGGTGCTATGGCTCAAGTGGTAGAGAAATAGCCTTGAGCACAAAGAGGCTCAGGGGCAGCTCCCAGGCCCTGAGTTCAAGCAGGACCAGCAAGACAGAGAAAGATAGGTAGTTCTGTGGACAGAGTCGCAAATAGATCGAGTCTTATGCCTCAGTTTCTCTGCTTGTGGGTTGCTGGCAGAGGAGCTCTGTGCCTCCGTGGCTCTACCCAAGCATGACTCTGGGGTTTAAGGTGGAAGCTGTGGCTTGGCCACCTTCCCCAGGCCTGCCTCTGTCTGCTCCCTTCCTCTCGGTCCCGCCCCGGGGGTCCGGCCACCCATGCTCGTCCGTACCCTCTGAGGGGGAACCTGTGGTGTCCCCTGTCTCTGGGTTTTTGATTTGTTTAATTATAGATGAGTTTTCTGCATAATTTATTCCAAAAGCCCGGATCATACCATACAATTAAATCACCTTCCGATCGACAACTTCACCTAGGAAATTAACAACGGGCAGCAGTTTAATCTGCGCTCACCGCAGCCACGCATGGGCTCTCCCCCCCCCCCAGCCCCTCTCTTCACCTCCCATGGCCTGTGCTCAGCGCAGTCCAGCCAGGAGGCATCGGGCAGATCTGGGTACTCGGGATCCAAGTGAACAGGAGCACTGGCAGAATCTGGTCAGCTCACTTATGTCCCAGCAGGGCCGTGGATCCTGATACCTTCCCCCCTTCCACCCCCGCCTCATTCTTCCAGAGCCTCCATACCATTCTGTGGAGTGAACGTGGCTGTGCTTTGCCAGGGCTGAACTGGGCTGGGTGGGTGGACAGCTTCTCTGGCCTCCAGGAAAGAACGCCGCAGGCCTCGTTCCCTCCTGGCCTCCTTGGTGTCTGTGTGTCAGCTCCTCAGAGCCAGCCCCAGGACACCGGCCAAACCCTAAAACCCACAACATCAGAGTCCCGTCTCTGTGACAATGAAATGAATTATCCATCGTGTCCTCTTTCACTCTAGGACACATGCGCTGCCTTCGTAATTGGGTTTGATTTAGGAGCAGAATCAGTGACTTAAGGCCACCAGGCCATGAACTGGGGCCTGGGGTCTGCCTGACAGGTCTAGGATGCCAAACCAAAGGTTAGAGCCACCCCTAGATCGGGGTGGGAGTGGAGATAGAGCGCATGTGACCTGCTGGCACTCGTACCTTGTAGGTGTCTGTGTATGTCATCTGGGAAGGCTTGGCATTTTGTCCCATAGAGCAGTGAATTTGTTGAGGTCAGGGCTAGGGCGGAGCCTTGGAAGACCAGATCCTCGACCCCGCCCACTGGTCTGCCACCTACCTGCCTGACGGGATACAGTAGGTCTATGTGGCAGTCTGCTATCTCAGGATCACAGAGAGCCCCTGCCACACTGTCCACCCTCAGCCAGGGCCGAGGCGTCGGTGCCCAGTGGACAGCGGCCAGGCTGCGAAGGCCCTATTTTCTACTGTGTCTCTCCCCCTCCCGGCTGGCAGCTGGAGTCTAATTGCCCTTCTTATCCCGGCCTGCAGCCTGGCCTCCACCTGGACTCCGGGTGAGATTTTTCCCCTGTGGTGGGGAGTGAAAGCAGGAGTCAGACTGAGGCTCGGCTAGCAGCTAGCCCAAGCTAATACCTCTTTCTTTTGATGTTGATTTCTTTCCCCCATCACAGTCCTGACATTCAGCTTGGCAAATTGTAATTAGCAATCTGCCCGCCTCCCGCTCCGAGTTCCCATGCCAACCGACCTGGGCACACACGACGACACGGGCCCAGCCCTCCAGCCACAGGCCCGAGGAAGAACATGGGGTAGGGAGGCTGGGTTGGGTCTGGGTGTCATCAGCGTGAAGGAGATCCACCCAGGCTTGGGTGGATTCAGGGGCCCACTAGGCTCACAGAAGAGAGCGGAGGTGTTGTTCCCACCTGTGGGTGGGCTTGGGCCGAACATCCAGCAGAGAACATCTGTGTATATTCCAGAGGACTCTGAGGTGGAGGCTCTCCATGACCACTACTCAGATAAGGCCCTGAGAGGTAGGGATGCGCCCAGGCACACAGGGCGATTCTATGGTGAGGGCGGTGTTCCCTCCCCTTCCTCGGGCCCCATCTCACACCTCCCTCCTCCGTGTTATTCAGAAGTTCCCTTGTTCAGGGCAGCTACATCAAGGGCTGGCTCTTTACAGTGAAGAACAGCCTCCCCGTGGGCTCCTTAGAGCTATTCGACTCCCTCAGTGCGTCGACCATACACTCCTCTCTTCTCCCTGGCCGTCCGTCCATACGGGAGGAGTGCCCGAGCTACCGGGCGAGACTTCAAAGGGGGTTCAGAGGCACATTCTGGTTCCCTACCTCTGTCTCTCCTCTGGTGAAAATTGGGTTGAGCAAGCAGCTGCCCTGCTCCCCACTGGGCGGCAGGAGCCAGGAGGTGGCAACTCTAAGCAGACTCTCTCTCTCTCTCTCTCTCCCTCTCTGCCCCTTTCTCTCTCCCTCTCTCTCTTCCCCCTCCCCCCACAGGATGCAGCACTGGGCCCGGCGCTTAGAGCAAGAGATCGACGGTGTGATGAGGATCTTTGGAGGTGTCCAGCAGCTCCGTGAGGTGAGCCTGGCATGCGTGCCTTTCCTCTACACATCCTTCTCCAAGTAGGGATGGGGAGATGGGGAGAGGATGCAGAAATAAGGAGTGAGATTTGATATCCTTACGATCTCCCCAACATGATAGGGTGCCCCTAAACCTGAATCAGTGACCCCTTGGGTCTTGATTTTTCCTGTTTTGTTTTGTTTTTTTCCTGTTAGTCGTGGGGCTTGAACTCTGGGCCTGAGAGCTGTGCCTCAGTTCTTCAGCTCAAGGCAAGCACTCTACCACTTGAACCACAGTGCTACTTCTGGTTTTCTGGTGGCTCATTGGGCATAAGAGTCTCATGGACTTTCCTGTCCGGGCTGGCTTTGAACCGTAATCCTCAGATCTCAGCCTCCTGAGTAGTTAGGATGACAGGTGTGAGCCACCGGCGCCCAGCCTTGGTCTTTCCCTTTTGAGGTAACATAGGGGTCGCCAGATGGTGCTGATGACTGTTGTTGCTGGGAGAATGTTGGGGCTTTCAGCTTTCCAGATGGGTGGGCTCTGTGTTTGAGGCTGCTCCCTGCTTGGGACCAGTGTCCAGGGCATGTGTAGAAACCCAGGTCCTCTGGCTTCCAAGCCAGCAGGATAGCTGGCAGGGCCAAATGAGCCTCGGGCTAGGGCGGGGGCTCAGGGCACTTGAAAGCCCTCGTGTCTGGCAGTGCAGCAGGATGAGGGATGGAGGTGCGGGAGCGGTGATCGATCAGGCGCCAGCCGACCACATTCGTCGTGGGAGATTATGTTAATGTTTCAAATAGCAATGTGAAGAGCGGACCATCCGTCACCCCAGAAGGCTGCTAAACGTGTTGCTGTCGGGCCACGGGCTTCTGAGCTGTCGCTCTTTAACGTGGAGATTCAGAGGCTCGGGGACCTGAGCTCTTGGAGTGGCACAGGCGGGACTCAAGGGGAATCTCTCCATCGGGACGTGCGTGGGATGGAGTGGGGGGTGGGGGGTCCTCGGCAGGATCGAGTAGGGGATCAGTGAGGATTTCCTGCCCATAGGTGACGTGGAAACAGCAGAGAGTTACAATCGGGGCCCGATGGAGAGTCTAGGCCCCGGGGTTTGGTGACACCCCAGTGCATTCTTGTCATCTCTGTGGGTCAGGGCTAGGGTCAGCTCTTAGAGGGTGAGGACCTTAGATGCTGTCCTCAGTCCTTTCTTCACGCTCAGCTTCTACTGGGAAAGATGGGTGATGGTCACGCCGGTGTCACTCATGAATGTAGGACCCCTGGTGCACAGGGGGCTGGTTAGACGAGGGAGTAACACCGTGGGGCAGGGGCCCAGGTGTAGAGATCCGAACCACCACTGGCTTGCTCCGGGTTCTCCCCACAGCGGCCCGGGTCTCTGCACTTTTCATTCTTAGTTGCTGGTCTTGAATTGTAACAGCCCCCATTTCGCTCTTCCTGTGAACTCTCGATGACTCAGCCGCATGTGGCAGCCAGTGTGGCTTCCGGAGAAAGTGCCCTATGAAAAGCCGCTCTGAACAGGATTCAGTTTTTTTTTTTTTTTTTTGTTCATCATGGGACTTGAGCTTTGGGCTTGGGTGCTGTCCCTTAGCTCTTCAGCTCAAGGCTAGCGAAGGCGAGTGCTCTACCACTTGGGCCACAGCGCCGCTTCCGGTTTTCTGGTGGTTTATTGGAGATCAGAGTCTCACTGCCTTTCCTGCCGGGCTGGCTTTGAACCTTGATCCTCAGATCTCAGCTTCTTGAGTTGCTAGGATGACAGGAGTGAGCCCCTGGAGCCTGGCCTCCACTGGGCTCTTCCGCGGATGTCTCCAAGCATAGCCACACAAGTGGAGGAAGGGACGGTGGTTGCTCGGATCATGCTTCCTTCGCTCTTACCAGGTTTTATATTAGGACGTGGGATGTATGTGTTGGAGGGGCATAGGATCCTCCTTACTTTAAATTCTCAGTTCCGGGACGTCTTTCGTTTGTATTTACATGGGCAACCCAGACCCCGCGCATTTGTCCAAGAGAACAGAACAATGCAGCTCGCTCTATCTAGATGAGTGAGCTTCCGGGAGGGTGAGGACCAGAGATGAAGCGCCAGCACTGTTACCCTGGGCGAGGCCTAGACTCTGATGGTTGTCGTTTGCCCCTGGCGTGGCTGGGAAGTCAGCTTTGAGGATGAAGTGGTGAGAATGGCGGTGGATAGGCTGGTGCACATATTACCCCTACCCTCCCCCCCCCTTAGAAACCAAAGTTCTTCCATTGATCATTTCCACTCATGGAATGCACCTCCTTCCCTTGGGATGGACTTGAGTGGTTCTAGGCCCTTTAATCCATGTGCGCCTCATCCGCCCCGCCGGGACCAGACCATCACATAGCTGACTTGAGGCAGCGCCGGGGAGGGCACCCATGCTCCTGATGACCATCCAGGGCACTGGCCGTGCTCCCAGGAGGGTGAATGGGATCGGCCCCCAGTGGCGGAGAACCTGGCAGAGCCACAGGCGGGCGGAGCAGCGCAGACCTGGCCCCGCTTCTCTGCTGCCCGGGCTGCCAGCTCTCCAGTGGCTGTGTCCTGCTCTAGTTTTTTTTCTCACCTGCTTATTCAGCCTCTTCCTGCTGACAGCTCTGGGACTGCTTCTTGGCACAGGGCACCCTGCCAAGGTATGGGGATAGGGCAGGGAATGGGTAAAATGTTCTAGAGGAAGCAGGCGATCCTGTGGGAACGAGAAGGAGTTGGCCACTGGCCGGCTCGTCCACCCAACCGAGCCTCACGCCGTGTCCCCCTTACAAGAGGACCTGTGTGCCAGCCCATGTCGGCATCGAGGTCAGGAGGGTGCTCAGAGCAGAGCCCCACTGGCTGCTGGCACCATTGGGAACTGGCCAAGCTGATGACAGCCCTGGCCCTCCATGGGGCTGCCCTTCCCTCATAGCTGATCTGAGCTGCCCCTGGATGTCTGCCACTCGGTCACCAGTCATCCAGTCCCCTCCACGACTGCCTTCCCTGCCCCCTCTCATCTTTGCGGCTGCCCCACCCCCAAGAAGCCTGGAGCTTTGAGGGCTGGCAGCTGCGAGAGGCCAGGAACCGCAGATCGTGGCATTTGGGAGCGTTTTCCCGGCCCTGGCATTTTCCTCCTCCTGACCTCACCACCACCCCACGGGAGCACGGCCGGGGGCGCACCATGGCCCATTTACAGGTTGGAAACCGAGGCGTATCTCGGTAGGGTAGGGTGCCCCGTCTGTGAAGACTCCGTCTCATTGACTCATCCGACCTCCTGGGCCGGCATCGAACCCGAGCTCCCGAGGCGTCCCAGTGGTCTGACCCTGGGATTAGCCAGATGGCCTGAGCCATGCCCTCCCAGGTACCCCGGCTCGACCCCCATCCCTGGTTCCCCCCCTTGCCCCAAACAGGTCACAGAACTGTAGATCCTCAGGACCCATCCAAGTCTCTGGAATCTATCTCCACCCTCCCCCAACAGCACCATATTGTCCCCATCCTGGGGGTGAGCATATGCTGGGGCTCTGAGCTGATTTGCATAATGAGGCTGATCGGGATGAATAATTCATCAGGTTCCTGGGGGTGCGGAGGGAGGGTGTGGAGGAGGGTAGATCCTCTGCTCTCTGAAGCCTAGGTCACCAGTGGGCCGGCCAGGGGGCAAGGGGATGGTCTTGGGGTTCCTGTGAGAAGATGGAGCAGACACGAGGAATAGCTGATTGGCCCGTCGGGCATGCTGACCTCAGGATGGGTTTTTGACCACCCTGGGAGAGAAGAGACCTTCTGAGGGTGGTGAGGGAAGGCCGCCTGGCCGGACCGGGGTGAGAGTGGACACACAGGGTGGCTCTCCCCCCGGGGCCCACGGGCTACCACCGAAATGGCCTATCGCCTTACCTGTATCTGGGCCGACTCTCCTCTTGCCATGACCTTAGCCGAGTCGTGGCCCTGATTGGTCGCCTCCGCCAGCCAGTCATCCGGGAGCCTGGGCAGGCCGCCCCGAGCTGGGGCTGTGGGGCGCAGCGGGGTTGGCGGCGGGGGTGGGGGTTCGGGCGCGAAATACGTTGCCGGGTTGGGATCGCTGTCGCTTGCCTCCGTAAAAACCCACATATATTATTCTTTAATGGAAAGTTAATTGTCTTATTATTCCCTCCATATGGTCTTCTCGCTCGGCACCCAGCGGGGATGCGTGGGGCCGAGGGGGGGCTCCCGGGAGGGTGTCTGAGACGTGACGAGGCCGCCGCTCCAGTATCATTGGGTACAGAGAGGCCGGCACGTAGGAGCCTGGCCCGGTCCTGCCTAGACCTCTTGTACTCTCTCCCCCTCCCTCACTGCGCACCCCCCTTCTCCCCTTCCCCCCCCACCGCCTAGACTGCTCGTCAACTCTTTTCTTCCCTGGCCCAGGGTGCTAAAAGCCACCCTGGAATGTGGAATGCTGCCCTGAGAATTGCTGCAAAAACTGGGGTTGGAGGGGAAGTGATTGTTGCTCCCACCTTCCTCTCACCCTCCCCCCAATGTAACGTACACTCTCCGTCTCACAAGAGATTTCTCATTTGTTTTTGGAGAGTATTTTTTTTTCTAAAGCTGTTTATCCATGATGGACAACTGGATGCAGGTCTACCTACCCTTCCACATAGCACACTGGAGAGGCCTGCGGTGAGGACGGGCACCCCAGGGACCCCTGCTATAGTCTCGGCTCCCTGGCTTGTGTTGGCAACCCCCTGTGTTGGGTGCTGGCCACCTGGAGACTTCCCGCCCCAGCAGCTCCTCCAAGACCACCGAGGCCTGACTAATACCGCTGTCCTCGTCAGATTCTCCTCCCTCAGTGCCACCCCACATCCTGGGAGTGTGAGGTATCATGTTGGGACAGCCTCACGGCAGGCAGAGCAGACAGTGACTTGGAAGTCCCAGAGCAGGGCTGGGCAGAAGCTAGCAGCGATCTCTTGCTCTGGGCTCTTGGTGGGGGGCAGGGCTGGGGCAGGGCGGCTTCAGAGGTTCTGGATAATAACCTCAGCTGCCCAGGTTTCTGTGGAGTCCGTGGGCT